TGAGACCAGTGGAGTATCTTAGATGGCTGCTCACAGGCTTTTAAAACCCCAGACACTACTCACCAAAGTAGAATGTAGAGCATTGCTTTATAAACTATGTTACGCCAATTGAGCTAGATGTTCCCTGAGACCATGGTCCCCACAGCCCTCTCCAGCAATTCAGTCCCTCAGGGAGTTTGGATGTGTCTATGGAGCTTCCATGACCTTTCCTTGCACAAGTTGTGCTGACTTCCCCAGTATTGTCTACTGTCTTACCCTTTACCAAACTTACCACTTATCTATTGTCTGTTTGGTCCCCACCCTACCCCTCCCCTCCCTCATAACCATCAAAGATTGTTTCTTTTTGTGTGTAAACCTTTTCATGAGTTTTTACAGTAGAGGTCTCATACAATATTTGTCCTTTTGAGATTGACTTATTTCACTCAGCATAATGTCTTCCAGTTTGATCCATGTAAAACCACTTAATTTTTTTAATCCAAAGGATGTTAGCCAAGGGATATGTGGTCTCTTTTTTGGTTTTTTGGTAGAAATATTGGGATATTCATCATTACTAGAAGCATCGATATAGGACATATTTACATAATTCCGTGGTTACAATCTATTGATTAATCAGCCTGCATGCAGTGGAAAAGCTAAGATCAAAATACTTTTAGTGATTTGGCACAACTACAAAATACTACCATGATATCCTCACTTCACATGCCCAGAATCAAATACAATTTATCAGATTATTTCTTCTAATGAGAACTGGTGTTTCTTTGTTTGGTAATATGTGGAAGTTGGTTATGTAATAAATTCTTATTTGATTAGTGAAAATAAACTTATATAAAGTAGAAGTAACAGCATGTGACAAATTTTTCACAGAATATGAAATGCATCTAGAAATAACCATTTAACATTTTTGAAGATTTCCAAAATTATATGAAATCATGACAATGTGTCAGCAAATAACATTCCCGCCATTCCAGACACTCCCATTACCAGAATATTTCCAAAGTTTCTACCAGTTTGTAACAGCCAGAAGAATGTAAAATGCCTAGGGATAAACAAAACAAGAAATATTCAGAACCTCTAATAATCAGAGGAAAGAAAGAAGAGAGAACAACTAACATTTAGGGAGTGTTTACTATGTGTCAGGCACTTTGTTAGGCACATTACATGCTTTATTGTTCAACATGATGCTTTGTGGGAGATATTGTTATTATCTCCATTACAATATAGGGTACACACATAGAGGTTGAGTTACATGTTGTAATGGATTGAATTGTGTCCCCCCAAAAATATATGTCAACTTGGTTAGGATATGATTCCCAGTATTGTGTGGTTGTCCTCATTTTGTCATTGATGAAATATTTTTAATATATATAACAAACATAGAATTGTGTTTATTATACTGAATAATTGAAAGAGAAGAAGAGGAAGAAGGAAGAGAGTAAGGGAAGAAAGAAGGGAGGAAGGAAGGGTAAAGGAAAATTAGGGAAGGGGAGGAAAGGAAAGAAAGAAGCAAAGGAAGGAAAGAGAAGGGAAGAAAAGAAGGAAGGAAGAATCAGGATATGTAATTCTAATATGACAATACTCATGACAACTGTGGGACAAAATATTTAAAATGAGAAACATCTTGAGACCATGATTACCAATTACAGCTCCTAACACAGTCTGCTTTTGATCAGAGCCATTTGTTTGTACAGCTGTCTGTACAACTTGACTGTGAGCTCCTTGAAGGTAAGGTTCCATATCAATCAAAGCTTCTAGTACATTGTAAACTCTCAATAAATGTCTGTTTGATTAATTTAGAATTTAGAACCTCATTTTCATCTCAAATAGAAGGTTTAGGGCTTTATTTTTTGAAGGCTTAGTTTTGAAGAAGTTTAATTGATCTATGGGACACAAAGTTGTACTTTCCTGTAAAACTTTCCTTTGTTCTGTAGTTCATTATCATTAGTGTGCCTGTAGTCTGCACTTTCTATTTTGTATTTAGAGGGAGACTTTCAAGGCATAGGTCCAAAATTTTTTCCTTGTATTTGTTCAAAATTTGTCTGTCTACAGCATAGCATAATTGTATATTTCTGTTGTTGTTAGGTGCTGTCGAGTCAGTTCCAACTCATAGTGACCCTGTGTACAACAGAACGAAACTATCAAGCAATAGTCAGGAAATCAGATGACTCCATTGGAAAAATCTGCTGCAAAAGACCTCTTTAAAGTGTTAAAAAGCAAAGACGTCACCTTGAAGACTAAGGTTCACCTGACCCAAGCCACGGTATTTTCAATCGTGTCACATGCATGCGAAACCTGGACAATGAATAAGGAAGACTGAAGAAGAATTGAGGCCTTTGAGCTGTGGTGTTGGCGAAGAATATTGAATATACCATGGGCTGCCAAAAGAACGAACAAATCTGTATTGGAAGAAGTATAGTCAGAATGCTCCTTAGAAGCAAGGATGACGGGACAAGGTCTCACATACTTTGGACATGTTATTAGGAGGGACCAGTCCCTGGAGAAGGACATCATACTTGGTAAAGTAGAGGGTTAGTGAAAAAGAGGAACACCCTCAATGAGATGGATTGACCCAGTGGCTGTAACAATGGGCTCAAATATAACAATGATCATGAGGATGGCATAGGACTGGGCAGTGCTTTGTTCTGTTGTACACAGGGTCTGTAGAAGTTGGAAACGACTCCATGGCATCAAACAACAACAACATATATCATAACTAGTGACCATTTGCACAACAATTACCAGGGATGCTTGCTAAAAATGCATCAGAATCTCTAGGGATAAGGCATGGGAATCTGACTTTTTAAATCTCCAGGTGGTTCATTCCTTCGGCAAATATTTATTGTGAGTCTGCTTTGTTCCATGTGTTTTCTAGATGCTAAGGACACAGTGAGGATAAAGATAAATTCCCTGTGTATATCTAATGGATATTCTGTGTACTTAAACCAAAGTTAGAGTTGAGGAAGAGGCACAGACAGAAAAGAAATACTTTCAATTTGTTGTCATTGCAAGTGTTATGTAGAAAATATGTTTGACACTATAGAGGCAAACCTTTAACCCAGTTGCAGGTGGGGGGGTAGCAAGTGAGAGTAAAAGGGAGGGGTCAGAAAAAGTTTCTAGCATGTGATAGTGTCTTGGGCTGATTCTTGAAAAATGCATGGAAATTAACAAGGGGAAGCCCTGGTGGTGCAGTGGTTAAGAGCTATGGCTGCTAACCAGAAGGTTTCCAGTTTGAATCCACCAGCTGCTCTTTGGAACCCCTATGGGGGAGTTCTACTCTGTCCTATAGGGTTGCTATGAGTTAGAATTGACTCAGTGGCAACGGGTTTGGTTTTTTGGTTTAAATACATAAAGGGAGTCCCTGGGTGGTACAAATAATTAATAAGCTTAGCTGCTAACCTAAAGGTTAGAGGTTCTAGTTCACCCAGAGTCACCTCGGAACAACTTCCTGGTGATCTACTTCTGAAAAATCAGCCACTGAGAATTCTATGAAGTCCAGTTCTACTCTGACACACATAAGGTCGCCATGAGTCAGAATCAATTCGATGACAATTGGTTCTGGTTTGGTTTTTCGAAGACATAAAATACTAAGTAAAGAGAGTGAGTGAGTATTATTGAGGATTGTATGCTATTGAGATTTCCTCTACAAGTAAAGCTATTGCATTTGATCCTTGATCACTCTGATCTCTGGTTGTTGTTGTTGTTATTAGGTGCCGTTAAGTCCTTCCGACTCATAACGACCCTATGCACCACAGGGCCAAACACTCCCGGATCCTGCACCATGCTCACAATCGTTGTTATGCCTGAGCCCATTGTTAC